TAAACTATAGAAACAACCCCTATACAACAATCAGATCCCTACCTATCAATGCCCCATCCGTTACACAACCTAGTATTTAAATCCCCCCCAGCTAACAAAAGTGCCCATCAACCGCAGACGGACCTCCTCCTTTATTCTCAAAACTAACTCTACAACACTTCTCCGAGTTCCTCAAAAAACTCTACTGTTTCTTTCTCTCCAAACATGACAAATATGCACGCTCCAGGTAATTCTTAAAAGAATGGAAACAAAAGACTTGCCTTTGAGCTTAGCAGTAGCCCAGGTAACCTCCTGCGCTCAGCTACCAGTCCTTGCTAAGTAACAAAGAGTAAGGACCCCATTCTAAACCTCCTTCGAATAGCCACACCCGAAGAATAGGCGGTCCCTCGACTCCCTATCATCCATGCAGAAACAACAGCCTCCCTCAACCTCAACTCCCCATCTCAACAATCTGTCCTTTGTAAGAGCCGATCCAGCAACGCAAATCATGCAATTGCCAATTATAGCATTCTAGGGTATTTGAAGAGGAGACCAAAAAAGTCTCGCCCACGACACCTTCTGATTGCCTCCCACGACACCTTCTGATTGCCTGCCACTCATGCTTAACTAGATACTTTCCTGGTTGCATCCACAACTTAATGAACTGGTCCACAAATTAAGCACCAGGCTTCGCAACTTAAACAGTTTATGCCAAAATCAGCTGCACACCTTAGGAGCAGAGAACTCCATAAACGGTCGCCCTTTCAACACATAAGTCGCAGACCACTGCACCTAAAGAAAATCACTTCTGCTCACCAAAGCCCAAATGCTGAAGAACACTCGCATGGTTCCAAGTGTCCAGATCTCAAAGATCCATACCACCCTCAATCTTAGGCTTACAAATCATCTCCCAACTGACCCTGGCCCCCTGAGCATGCACTTCCCTTCTAGAAAAACCGGGAACACAACTGTACAATTCTTTTAATAACCGCTTTTGGCAAAACAAAATGTCTGCACCAATAAGCTTGGACATTGTAGGTCACACTTTGGATGAGCTGCAGTCTACCAACGTACGAAAGAACCCTTGTGGACCAACCACTAACCCGAGCAGCCACCTTCTCCAATAGAGGTGCGCAATCCTTCTCGGTGAACCTTCTAGTGACTAACGATACTCCAAGATAACGCACAAGGAGTTGTCCCATGCGAAACCCAGTAATATCAAGAACACAACACAAAACCTCCTCACTCATACCCGAAGAGAACACTTTCGTTTTGAAGGAGTTCAATTTGAGACCCGAGTACTTATAAAACTCCTGCAGAACACGCATAACCCCACCAAATAATCCACATCCCCTCTAGAAAAAATCAACAAATCGCCAACAAAACACAAATGCTTAAGCCCAATCCGCTTACACTTTAGGTGAAATCGAAAGACACCCCTAGCAGCAGCCACATCTAACATCCTAGAGAGGATATTCATAACGAGCACAAAAAATTAAGGGGACAACGGATCCCTCATCGCACCCCTTTAACCCCCTATTTATGTTATCCGAATTAATTGTATTTATTAATAAAATAATTAAATCATTATAAATATTTATTTTTATAGATTATACATATAATAAAGAAGTTACATCATGATATTTGAAAAATAAAATATTTAAAAACTTATAAGTCATATTATTCTAACACATCACTGTTTAACAATTATGAACAGAAGTTTTCGGCTCAATATGTAACAACTTAATGTTGTGCCATGCAAACTTAAAAATATAACACAAAATTTTGAAACAAAATAATAAAATGAAATGTTTATTAATGTTTTCCATTGTTTCTATTTTTCTAAATATTTCTAAATTTATTAACCCATTAATTATGTATAATATTGGAAATAATATCATCGGTGAATATACTTTAGGATAACGACACATTTAGTACTTCAACTATTACTTTTGTTTCATTTTGGTCACTCAAGTATTATTTTTTTCTTAAACTCATACCTATCATTACGTTTTAGTTCTATTTGGGTCATCCATTGTTAAAAATTAATAGAACTATTGACGTGACGTTTAAAAAAAATAAATGATGACGTGGTATTATCCTATGGTATTACGTCAGCAGCACTGTTTAATTTTTAACTACAAGTAATCAAAACGTAATATTAAGTATGATTTTGAAATAAAAAATGGTTGAATGACCAAAACGGAACAAAAATGATATTGGAAGTACTAAATGTATAATTTACCCTATAATTAAAGTATCGTATTTATTTATAATTATAAGCCTCCATGTTAATTATATTTATAAAAGTAATTTTATAAATTTTGAATAGTATAAAGTGATTACAATATAGTATGTATTCAAAATTACTCTTAGTTATTGACAACGCATACACACCTTATAAATGTAATTGCTCAAACTCATGATCTCCAAGAAGAACAATACTCCCCTTAACCATTGAGATCCCTTAATGGATTCAAAGTGATTTTATTCATAATTTAATAATATTTTATCTACCAATTATTGTTTGATATATTGAGATGAAACATTAGGTCTTCTTAACAACGTCCACAACTCAAATTTTGACGTTGTTGATTGAACAAATTGAATTGATCACAACGTTATGGATGAATCGGGTTGATTTGGAGTGGTCACCTTATAAATTTTTAAAATACCCTATTAAAATTACTTTATAAAAATATATTAAATTATACTTAATTTACATGAATCTCATTAAATCACATGGATAATCTGGTATTAATTAAAGTCACAACCACCCAGCAGATGATATTGTCAACCAAATTTAACAATTTCTTCCAATAATTCCCATTATCACACTTCTTATGCTTTTAAACTTCAAACCCCCATGAAAAGAAAGAGTTAAAAGAAGAGGAAGAAGCATGCTTCCCAAGTGGCGAATGAATTTATTATTAATTTTTAAAGTTTTGAAGTCGTACATTGCATATATAAGAACATAAACATTCATTATTAAATAATTAAGCATTTATCATAAATTTAAACGTGATTACCTCTTTTCTTAATTTATCTATACTCAATTTGAACTCTAATTATTAAAAACCTAATTATATAAATCAAATTAGATCAAAATTTATTGAACCTATATCTGCTCAATCACAACAAATCTATTAAATTTAAATGATTAAACAAATATTTTTTAAAATTAATTTAATTTTTAAAACCAAAATTTAATTGAATTTAATAAATTAAGACTTAATCTATTTAATTTTTAAAGAAATCAATGGTACCAGACTCCCGTAAATCATAAATATACGATGAAGTGACCAAGTGCAGGAGTAGTAGTTGCAGGACATGCTTGGCCATGTCTAGCATGCTTTGGTCAACATCAAGCGCTGTAAAAAGTAAAAAGCAGGTTGAAGCATCTGCAATTTGTACTTTTCACATCTATCACCCAATACAATATTTATTCTATATTATTACTTCACAATAATGTATGTATTTATATTCTGCATATTTAAATATTTTCTATTTATATAAAATTTTAATAAATTGATAATTTATAAACTTAATATAAAATTAAATGTTTAAATTATATTTTTTCTATTTAGATATCTATTTTTTTGTCAATTTAAGTATCTAACATATCTAACGTATTATATAAATAAATTATTATATTTATCTAGTATTAAAATAGATTATGTATATATTTATTCAAATATACACTTGAATCAATATCAAATTTTACATGTATAATTGAATTAAGATTAAAATTTATATGTATAATTATACAAAACTGAATTTTTATAACACATTACACATTTAATCAAAATGTATCTATAAATTTATGATGTATCCCTTATGTATCTGTTGTCCCAAATGCATGCCATTGCACTACATAGTAAGTACCCAAATTCTCACAAATTTGCTATCATTATAATACTAATAAAGGTTAGAGATAAATTTCAAAATCCATGATTGAACGATAACCAAATGTGTATGAATTTTGATTTTTTTTATTTAATAGTTGATATCGAATAATTACATTGGATGTTTATTAAATATAATCTTCCAAATCTATTTTATTCACTCATATAATTCAAACTTAAAATCCTACATGAATTAAAGTTTTAATTTAATTTGATTATACATCTTATTGTAAAACATCGTGTATAATATTTGTTAAATAGTAATTACAACAGAACAAAACGTCAAATAAGAAGTTATGAATATGATCGGAGAAAAAAATTGAACATAAAGATAAGCAGATAACAACATTAATAATTAATATATTTATTAAGAAAAATGGATTGATAATGCCTAAATCGATTATGGAAGTATGTATTGTTTTTCCTATATAAAAAAGGAATACTACTATTTTTAAAATTTTAGAAATAAACCCCTGCAATTTAATGACATACGAGTTGTGCCCCATTTCTTTTCAAAGTTTCCATTTCAGTTCCTTCATTAACCTTTCTGGTTTCATTTTTCAGCAATTATAGTTGAAACATAGGGGAGAAGGAGAAAGAAAAGCTTCCTTGCTTCACTACAAAAGGCTTTCTTCTTCTCACCGATCAAAGCAAAAATCTTGTCTTTAACCCAATCCCAAATTCTCCCCCCACTCTCTATATTTTTTTTCTCCCATTTCTCAAAAACCTTCATTGGTGGCTTCCTCAAGCTCTCTCTTCTATCTGGCACCCAGCCCAATATCCCTCCAAAACTCGTAAGTAACTATGAAATAAGCATCCCACCATTATTATTATTATTGGTTTCAAGTCTCGTTTTCTGCAAGATGTTGCAGGGTTTTGTCTCTTCAACACTAAATTTGGCAAAATGCCGACATGTTTAACCCACAAGGGTCCCGTTGCCTTCTTTAACCTTGCTTTTTTCTCTTTTTAAGTTTTAACCAACTCTATTTATAGAAACTTCCCTTTGTTTTTTGGGGTTTCCAGATTTACTTGATTCCATGTTTGAGTTATTCCCCAAATAGAAGTTCCATTGCTCAAGTGCTCTAATAAGCAAGCCAACTTTTTGTTTCCGAAGGTCAACAAGTAAAAGAAGAAGGAAAACATGGCAAGAGAAAAGATTCAGATTAGGAAAATTGATAACAGCACAGCCCGGCAGGTGACTTTTGCCAAAAGGAGAAGAGGGTTGTTTAAGAAAGCTGAGGAGTTGGCCATTCTTTGTGATGCAGATGTTGCTCTTATTATTTTCGCTTCTACTGGGAAGCTCTTTGAGTATGCCAGCTCAAGGTATCCTTCTCAATATTCTCTCTTTCCATTCAATTGTTTTGAATTACTTTTCATCTCTTTTATGTACAGTTGTAACATTTTACACTTCCTCAGTAGGAGACAGGATAAATTTTCAACTTTGAGTATGCTAGATGTAGCTTCTAGGACACAAATCTGATACCAAGAGCATACTATAGGTCAACATTAAAGAAAAAAAAAACCACAAACTGATGGTTTTATGTTTGAACTCTAGCATGAAGGAGATACTAGAAAGGCACCATTTGCGCTCAAAGAACCTGGAGAAGCTGGAACAGCCATGTCTTGAGTTGCAGGTTAGTTGATTTTTGTATTTCCATCTTTCTGCACTTTTTCGTATATTCATGCCAATATTTAATCAGTTGGCTGAATAGTTGTGAAAATCTCACTGTGGCCCCTTGTTTAATGCTACGTTTTCTTGTCTGTAGCTCGTAGAAGATAGCAACCAGTCCATGCTGACAATGGAAATAGCAGAGAAAAGTCATCAACTGAGGTATGCATTTTTTATTTCTTATCAATTTTATTCAATGTATATAAAATGTGGGTTCTGCATTAAAACAGGCAAATGAGGGGCGAGGAACTCCAAGGATTAAGTGTTGAAGAACTACAGCAGCTAGAGAAATCTCTGGAAGTTGGGTTGAGCCGTGTTATGGAGAAAAAGGTTCTTGCTTTTTCTGCAAAGTTTTAAGCAATGATTAAATATTTGAACTTAGCTCCAATTATTAATGTATTTCAGGGTCAAAGGATTATGAGAGAAATCAGTGAACTTCAAAGAAAGGTCAGTATATAAACATACAAATAACAGTCAAAAAGGAGAAATTAAAAAGATACTAAAGAACAGACATAGTACTGTTTTGATACATGCAGGGGATTGAATTGATTGAAGAAAATGAACGATTGAAGCAGCAAGTATGGCTTTTCCTTTTCATACATTGTACTATTCCATACTATTATATTTATTAGTATAGGTATAGGCCACAGGCTTTCATCACTGCGGGTATTGCAGATATCTGAGGGCCAAAAACAAGTTGCCGGTGACTCGGAGAACATCTTCGAGGAAGGCCAGTCGTCGGAATCGGTGACCAACGTTTGTACTTCCAACGGTAATCTGCACGACTACGAAAGCTCGAATACATGTTTGAAACTAGGGTAAATACAATTGCACAAACAAATACCAAATTTACTGTTAAAAAGCATCGGCTAACTCCCTTTTTATTCTTCCTCCGATGTTTTACAGGTTATCGTATTGTGGTTGACTGAGGAGGGTTCGTTCGAGGTTAATAGTAGAAAATTATAATAGTAGTAGTTGATACATTAAGTACATGTCCTAATCCTTAACGTAATTAGGGTTTTAATTATCTCAAGCGGATATATATTGCATGATCGACGCATTCCTTTAACTTTGAACTTATATGAAGTTAGTTTGTGATTGAGATTCAATCCCATCATAAATCGGGCATGGTTCATGCTTAAAGGTTATTTGATTCCTGGAAAAACACACAACCCCAGTTGTTTTGCATGGGAATTGGATTGCGGATCCTTCTAGCTGTAAGATAGGTTAAATTCTGGTTTTTAGACTATCCGATTCCTTCTTGCATTGATGGCTTACATTGATGCTCATCAAAGACAAACTCAGATCATATAATATAGTGGGACATCAGTACTTCAATTTTAGGACATTTACGACAAAGCCAATGACAAAAAAGCTTTTTAAGATATTAAATAAATAAAATCTTTTTTGCATACTGAATTCAATCTTGTTTCTTATATGTTATTATTTTACGGAAAATTTTACAATGCATGTCATATACACCAACGTTCCATAAGTAAAATTGTCTTTATTATGTAAATATTGGAAAGTATAAGGAAATTTTTAAAATTAATCATTTATTAACATTAATTATAATTGAGATCCATTAACTATTTCAAATAATTATAAAATCCAAGTTAAAATTTATTTGATCAAAATTAATACTAAATTAAAAGAAATATTAAAAGTAATATCAAATTTAAAAAAAAAAACATCAAAATTAAAATTAATGATCAATATTAAATTTTGTGTATCAAAATTAATATATCATGATTCAAGTAACCACAATTAATATAAAGTAAAATTAAGTATCAAATTGCTAAGATTAATGATAACATTTAATATCAATTGATATGAAATTAATGCTAGTAAAATTAATGAATAAAATAAAATATTAATATTATTGTTAATTGAAATCAAAGAATAAGTTCAAAATTAATTATCAAAATAAAAATAAAGTAAAATTATAGAAGATTTAAAACTTAGAAGTCTAAAATCTAAATAAAGTAAAGTGTGGGAGTTTGCATGGACCATTTAAATTAAAACAAAAGTTGGTGGGTGTGGTAATGTAATTTAGCCATGTCTTTTAAAACAGAAACATACTATTAGTCTAAAATATAAATGAAAGAAACTATTGGGGGGTTTTCCTTTAATTTAACCGTTCTAAATAAAACACAAATAAGGAGGGTTGGATTGTAATTTTACCATTAAAAAAACTAATGAAAAAGATGACTAGTGAGTTAAGTGCGATGGACTTACATGCTGTGACTATTGCGGACGACGAGATCTAACAGTCGTTGTTTGTTTAGTTGGGATGGGCGACGATAGGAGATGATTCTTTGAAGGTCACCGTGCATAAAAGAAAAAAGAAAAACAAATAGAAGGCGACCAACCCAAAAGGCAGAGCTTTTCCTTCGAGACGATCGACTGTTGGGCGATGACGAACTGAGTAACGACAAACGAAAACGATGAATGTTGTAGTAGTTGATTTTCCGACGAGTTAAAATGATCGGTGACAATGACTAATGTTGATGGTCAGTTCTAACTTATATAACTTAAAAATCCTAATTCTAAACAAATTAAACTACTTAAATTAATTATTATTTTTAATAAAAATATAATTTAATTATAATTCTATTAAAACTATAGTTAAATTTTAATAAATGATTAATTTTAAATAAATTTTTATATAATTTTTAATATTTACATAATAAGAACAAATTTACTTGAGGTACGTTTTAATACGTCGCTTTAGTAGTACGTTGCAGTATACAACATGCACCGTAGACTTATCCATTATTTTACGGGTTTTGTTCACCACTTTTAGATAATAGATTAAAGTACAAATTTTATCATTTTACTTTCTTTTTACTCTTATTTTGGTCATTAATTTTTTAAAAAAAATTAATTTAATCATTTAACTTTAAAATTATCTTTTTTATTATTTAATTGTTAATTCACAAATGCTACGATGATATTACAAAATATGTAATTACATCATAACGATATTATTTTTTATTTTTACAAAAAAGTCAGCTTTTTTTTACTAAAACAAACATTATTTTGAATTGTATAAAAGTTAATTAATTAATTTATTTTTTTGCATGAACCAACCCGGTTTTAGTAACCGATCATTGCGATTGGCCACCGTATTGTTTGACGTTCCACCACTATTGTCGGCGACCGATATCAAAATTCCTCACCAAAATCGTTTCGTCCACCTTTATGGGAATTTAATGTTCATTTAATAGAAAAAAGACTTCAAACTCCGTTGTTATATCATTGGATGAAACCCGAATGAAGATATATCATTCTTCGTTCTAAGAGGGGTCTCTTCACTGTTAGGAATCTCATTGATGGCTTCATATGAGATAATGGATGTAATTTTAGAGTTTGAGTTTGCTGTTCAGTTGAAGAAAGTTAGGGTCCATGAATGGGTATCAAAATTCATTAGGATTTTGAAAAATCTCTTCTACGTGTAAATGCAATCAAATTTGATGTCTTACTCAAATTCAAAATCCCTTCTCTTACGGATCTCAGCAACAAGGGCAGCCGCATGGGAACCACGCTCCAATGGACCCGAAGCACCAACATTAGATCTACAATGGCGTTGTTTTGATGTATCATCTTATCGTTTATAATTTAACAGTTGAACAGCTAAAGATAATATAATGTTAAAATTAAGTGATGAAATAGATTTTTTTTAAGTTTAATGATCAAAATAAGATATAGAAAAAAGTTCAGAGATGAAGTTTCTAGTTTGACCAAAATGACGTGCATTTACTTCATCTGGTTAAGAAGATTACAGGCTGTAATATCTCGTGTCCACATAAACAAAGAAGGAACCAAACATATCTGTGTACCTTAACTTCACATGAAGTCAAAAGAATCATTGGGTCTGCATCATGGAAATGAATTTTCTCCAGCTGTAGGATGGATGCCATAAATAGGGTAGTTCTGCGGTGCGGCGCCTAAAAAACGGTTAATATACGGTGTGACCGGTTAAACAAGTGACCGGTTAAAATTTATACCGGTTATGTTATATTATTTAACCGGAAATATTATAAAGTACAATAACATACTAGGTAGCGCTTATATAATGTAATAGGTAGTGCTTATATTTACCTATTTTATAAGTAAACCGGTATATTTATACCGATAGTATTACAAATTTACCTATTACATTATATTATATTGAAAGTGTCCATACTTTTTATAAAAAGGATCGATACTTCTTTTAAAGTTATGTAATTTATGTTTCAATTTTTTTAATAGTGTTTCATGTTTTCCACCTACAATATTAATTTAATAATTTCATTTGCACAAAAAATTATTTGATTATTTGATATTTTATAAAATATTATTTAGAATTTTTAATTTAATAATAATATATATCGTAACGTAAAAAATAAATCATTAGACGCCTATAATTACTAAATTAAAATCTTAAAACTCACTCAAAAGATAACCTTAAATTAATATTTTCAACAGTGAAAAAAGTATGAACACTTTTATAAAAAGGATAGACACTTTACAATATAACCACTACCTATTACATTATATAAACGATACCTATTACATTATATAAGCGCTACCTATTACATCATATTTTACCTATTATATTGAAAGTGTCCATACTTTTTATAAAAAGGATCGATACTTCTTTTAAAGTTATGTAATTTATGTTTCAATTTTTTTTAATAGTGTTTCATGTTTTCCACCTACAATATTAATTAAATAATTTCATTTGCACAAAAAATTATTTGATTTTTTGATATTTTATAAATATTATTTAGAATTTTTAATTTAATAATAATATATCGTAACGTAAAAAATAAATCATTAGACGCCTATAATTACTAAATTAAAATCTTAAAACTCACTCAAAAGATAACATTAAATTAATGTTTTCCACAGTGAAAAAAGTATGGACACTTTTATAAAAAGGATAGACACTTTACAATATAACCACTACCTATTACATTATATAAACGATACCTATTATATTATATAAGCGCTACCTATTACATCATATTTTCACCTATTATATTGAAAGTGTCCATACTTTTTATAAAAAGGATCGATACTTCTTTTAAAGTTATGTAATTTATGTTTCAATTTTTTTTAATAGTGTTTCATGTTTTCCACCTACAATATTAATTTAATAATTTCATTTGCACAAAAAATTATTTGATTTTTTGATATTTTATAAAATATTATTTAGAATTTTTAATTTAACAACATTAACCAAAGATAATAATAAATATGTAATATATATGTTTATTGTTTTTAATTTAATAATATATATACAACATCAAACACATTCCAAGCTATAAATTACAAGCTAAGGACACTTGAAGAAGCAAGAGAACAACTATCCAAACAATCAAAAACGAGAAAATCCCAACATGATAACAACTGAACATATCATATCAATGTTCAAAATCAAGTTGTAGATTTTGATTTCCTTTTGCTTGGCATCATATGAGATTTGAATTTTGATTTCCTTTTGCTTGGCACCATATGAGCTTTGGATTTTGATGAGCATCGGAAGTATTTCAGACTTATGATTTGGGTGGTACTCAGAAGCATTTCGGACTTAGATTTTAGTTGCTATTTGTTTACCACCCAGATCATACGCCCGAAACGTTTCTGACGCTTTAAAGTTGACCAAAAATACAATGGTCTGGATTTCCCTCGCGTTTAACGTTAGAAAAAACAATGGAAATTAGGAATAATCAATGATAACATGCATATTGGCTTGGGCTAATATTTATAGTGGAGCCGAAATATATTGAAATTCAACTCAAATTGAAATTTAAATTCAAACTCCAATTACATAT